ATTAGACTAAATTATAGACTTGTTTCAAAATATGGAATAGCAAAATATAAAGAACATTGTAGGAAAATATAGAGAAAACATAATTATAATAAAGATTAAAAGAAGAAATAAAAATAACCAGAAAACATCAATAAAATGGTAATACTAATTTAATCAATGGAATTATATCATTAGAGACTATCATATCCTATAGTGTTAATGTTTCTGGTCATGGCCGATGAAAGTTTTATATTGCAATTGCAGAGTATTCAGAAGAGTCCCCAGGAACTAGAGCAGGGAATCATATTAATTATTATGTTAAATTATGGGATTTGACTTAAGGGTGCTTAAGGGTCATTCTGTCTTAAATATTCTGAGATCCTAATTTATATACCTTTGCAGAGGGAAAAAATTTTAAAGCTCAAACTGTTACGAACATATGGATGATGTGTCCTGTAGGATGAGTATGAGGAATAAGTGAAACAACACCTGAGTCAGAAATTAGTTCATAACACTGGAACAGGAAAGGTCTATGGCCCAACGACAGCAATCCGTTTAATTTTGCCACATGACTTATTGGAAGAAAGTGCTGGGTCTCCCAATGCGGACATGATGCAGCTGGGCATCAGAGTGTTATGCCAGGGGCTGAAACTATTGTGACCCTTTGGCACCAGAAAGACTAGTGCCAGATGCAATCATACCTTTGAATCACAGATTATTTGTCAATAAAATTTATCTGAGAATGAGATACATGGATCCAAGAGGCTGCTTTGCCTTTTAACTTCTGGGAAGCTTACATAACTCATGAATTTTTTCCCCAAGTTTATTTTTGGTTGTGTGGAAGAAATGGCTCATAATGGGTTGTGAAAGTCAATTCTGAATGTTCTTCCTTGTATTGTGTTTCCAAATATTATATTTGTTCTTGACAGTAGAAATGGGGTATATATTTATATCCTGGGAACCAGTAAATACTACATACCCATGCTCCCCTCCTAACAAGTTAGTGGTAGAGCAATCAAGGCCACTGGTTCAAAATATTGGTTGTTGATTTAAAAACAGTATCAACAGGAAGCTCTAAAGTACCTGGTGAAACGTAGCCTGCCTTAGAAAGTTCTGTTAGTGGTATTATTTTATGCACTTTATTTGATTGCTCCAATCTTCAACAAATACTTATCAAAGCTATTCATTCTTTCAATGAAAGTAAAAGAGTTGATAGGACTGCTTAATTAATAAGGGTTAATGTTGCTTTCTAAAGCTTAAAACTTACATAGGTGCAAAAAATGTTAATGAAAGACAGAAATCATGGGAACCACATGGGTAAGCTAAAGGAAGCATGTAAGATTTCCTGGAAATAAATTAGGCCAAAGTACAAGAACACTTGAAAGTCAAAAGGAAAAATGTGAATATTATCAAAGGCATCTTTGTTTTCCAAGTACCCTAGAAAGTCAAATATAAAATATAAGAATATGATTGTTATAAATAAATCTGTAAAAAAAAAAAAAGAAAGACACAAGACAACAGTTAAGGTTTCAAATCTTCTTAAGATTGGAAAACACAGAGACCCCAAAGGGACGGCCTGGCTTTTCTGTCACATTTGGGCTACATAAACTACTCCCAAACCACTGATGGGAGGGACCAGTGCCACCTAGAGCCCCCAACTTGCCAATTTCCTCATCTTACATGTGCTGCTTGCAGCATTCCTAAAGAAAGAAATAAAAGCTTTATGAAACAGGTGAATCTACTTCTTCTTTGTAAATCCACACATATTTTCACCCTTTATTGGTGTAGGAGTTCCTTCAGTCTATGTGTTGCTTTCATTGGTTAGTAAAGGAACTGCTTTGGGCCTATAGCAGAGCTGTAGGAGAACAGAGCTAGGTGGGGGAAAACTAAACAGAATGCTGGGAGGAAGAAGGCAGAGTCAGAGAGATACCATGGAGCCGCCAGAGTCAGACATGCAGAATCTTTGCCGGTAAGTCACTACCACATGGTGATATACAGATTAATAGAAATAGGTTAAATTAATATAAGAGTTAGCTAATAAGAAGCTAGAGCTAATGGGCCAAGCAGTGTTTAAATTACTATAATTTCTGTGTGATAATTTTGGTTCTGGGTGGCTGGGACAAATTAGCAGCTTCCTCCAAAACTTTATCACTTATTTAAGTAGAAATTAGTAACAAGATTTATCTGGTATATTCCTATCATATGTAAATATTACACCGTGTGGAAGTTAAAACACTGGGAAAGAAAGAAGAGGATGAAGACAGAGTATTTGGTATAGAGCAGAGGAGCAAAACTCCACATTGACACTTACTGCATCAGTGGAGTTTGCTGGTTGTGTGGTTGTAGGGGTTTTGTTTCCATTTTCTGCCACTCCCTTCACTCTCTTTTTTTGTCCATCTGCTTCCCTCCTTTGGTCCTTCCTTTTAACCTCCTTTTTCCTTCTCTCACTCCTTGTGTTTTTCTTTAGCCCTTATTTATTTGCTTATATTCATCCTACCCTGAAATACCTTGACCTTCTTTTTGAAGTAGCTTGATGCTGTCTTTGGTAACTTAACACACATCTGAACTCATACAGATTAAGGGAGCCAGAATTTCTTCTCTCTTCCATTTTTTTTCAGTGAAATATAAATCTCAGTAATATACAGACAAGAAGTCACATCTCAGTGACTTCCAGATTTCACGCCTTCACTGAAAAGAAGGCAGAATGTATAGTTCACAGAGCAGAGATTCGGCAGAATTTCATATCTGATTTCTCCCACTTAGTCATTATGGTTTGAAGTGCGAGTTAGTCAGGTTTTTAATGCCTCCAACTCTTTACTGTGTGAACGAGGATCATTGTGAGAGATCCTGCAGTAACAATGCAAACTGTTCATTCTGATATTGGAGGATTTTGTTGACTTCAGGCCATAAAGATGATGGCTGTGTTAGCTAGTCTGTCTTTGCCCTGGCAAATCTTTCCTTTCTTTTCTCCATTGGCTCTACATCATGTGAGGTTGAATTTCATGGACTTAATAAGTTGGCACTTGTCCTTCTTAATTCTGATAAGATCAGGGCAAAGAGTATTACTTGCAGGAGAAGGAATATAGGGAGAGGACAGACTGAGCAAAATATCATGAGTTACATTACTCCATAAAAAACACACAGTAACTATCAGATGGCTCTTCCCCATGGCTACAGCTACTTTTCAGTTTGACGTCTTCCTCTGCATGTTCCTTCCGTCCTGCCGTTTGAGTGCTGTCTATCTTCCTAGGATTCTGACGGGTGACATAACAGCACTTTTTGTCTTTGCTAAAATGCCATTATTTAATGATCTTCTGTTTATTTAGGTGATCTACCTTGTCTTCAAAGAGCAGCTAAAATACTACCTGTGCAAAGAGTTATTCCAAGAGTACTCTGTCCTTAAAGGAATGGCAGCTAATATTTGAGTCTGTTACTGGATTCCCAGATTAAAGGCAGAGAGTTTTAATTTGTTTTGACAAGTAGTGAAGTCTGTGTAATAGAATCTGGTATCTGCTTGTAAAATGATGGGCCTTCTAGGGGTCAGGGACAGGGTTGTACTCAATTTAACACTTGCAGCACTTGGCACTCTTATTTGCTCACCAAGTGTGAAAGTAATTTTTTCTCAGTTACGTATTTTTCCTAGCAGGTTTGTTTTTTTCTCCACAAAGCTTCGTAATTGAGATGAATATAATTTCTTTGCTTGCTTTAACTATCTCTGATTATCTCACTACCTAGATTTTTGTTTTGTGTAAAAGTAGCTATTGCAGCCAGCCAAAATCTCCTTCCATCAAAAGCCAGGAGGATATGGGCAACACTCACACAGAAATAAAATTTTCAAATTGATGATGGAGTTTCATAATTTTCATTAAACACATCTCTTAAAGCGTGCTATAAATTTCAATATAGTATAATTCACTGTACCTTTATCTGCGTTTTTCACTCAGCCATCTCAGTAATTGATCTTTCTCTCATTGCTCATTACTCTACTTCTTTGATATTAAAAAGCATTATTTTAACACCAAATATATATAATCTCAAATAATTTTGGAAATAAGTTTAAGGAGAACTAAGTCAGCTTACTTATATATTAAATTAATATGCTGTTTTAATTTTTAAGAAAAGTACTAATCCTACTAGGTAATCTATTTTAATACAGGTAAATTCTAATTTTATTTTCATTTCAAATACCACAAATATGTTTTTCTAGAGTGAACTATGTCATTTTGTTTGTCACAATATACCAAATATAGTCATATGGAATAGCAATTACTATTAGTACTAGTTTATTAAGGTACTTCAGATGTGACCACTGAGAATCCAAATGTACTGCATTTGAAATGTACAAATTAGAAAGGGCATTTGTATCATTTGAGCATCTGCATTCAAGCTGCATTTTGAAAGTCAGCTCTTTATTATAATCTGCCTTTGTATTATCTTTGCCACAGTAAACACCATAAGGCAGTCACTTCGTCAACAGTGAGCAGCAGTGACCTTCACAGTAGAAAGTATTAGCTGGTGAATGCATGATGATCACAGATGCTAAACCTTGAGAGTTGGAGGTCCAGCTACTTTTTATTTATTTTACACTGAGAACAGATTTGAACTATACACTGAGTTTAAAAAGCATGCAACAATACAGCAACTGGACTTTATTTTCATCTCTTTATATATCAGTTGTGTGTGTGTGTGTGTGTGTGAGAGAGAGAGAGAGAGAGACAGAGACAGAGACAGAGACAGAGAGACAGAAACAGAGAGACAGAGAGAGTATAGCACATTGAGGACTTCCATTTGGAGCAGATCAGAGATTTAGTTCTCAATTGGATAAAATAGCTGTAGTTCAATGAAAGGGGATGCTCCTTTCCTTAAGGAGGTATGGAAAGGCACATGACAAACAAGTCAGGACCCTTGCACCAGATCTCTTGATTATGCTTGCTGATATTTTAATGTTCTCAAGCTAAGAACAGCAATATGCTTTAAAATAACTTGCATATTTAAATTAATTTATTTTTCTTCTCTCTTAGGATTTAGCAACACTGCAATATTAAGGACCACGAGGGGTGTACCCACCCACTGAGACAATTTGGCTGATCTATTGGGAGCTCACCAAGGCCAGCTGGACTGTGACTGAAAAGCATGGGATAAAACTGGATTCTCTGATCATGGCGAACAATGAGGGCTGCTGGGAAGCCAAGGACAACGGCACGGGGTTTTGATCCTACTTCATGTTCCGGCTTGGTGGGAGCCTAGCCAGTTTGGATGTTCACCTTCCAAGACATGGACGGAGGGTGGAGGACCTTGGACTTTCCACAGGGCAGGGAACCCTGACTGCTCTTTGGATTGTAGAGGGAGGGGGAGAGGAGTGGGGAGAGGGGGAAAGGAGTGGGGGAAGGAGGAGAAGGGGGGGAGGAGGGGNGACATGGACGGAGGGTGGAGGACCTTGGACTTTCCACAGGGCAGGGAACCCTGACTGCTCTTTGGATTGTAGAGGGAGGGGGAGAGGAGTGGGGAGAGGGGGAAAGGAGAAGGGTGGGAGGAGGGGGAGGGAAATGGGAGGCTGGGAGGAAATGGAAACTTTTTTTTCTTTTCCTTTTCTCAATAAAAAAAAGTTATTATATTAATATGATTTCTCTTAATTGAAATAGAATCAAGATCTTACAATATAGGTAGGCCTTGTTCTGTTTTGTTCTTGACCTCTATTATTGTTAAATCCAAAGGTCTGTCTCCAACCTTGTCTTCTCAGGGGACACAGGCCATCACCTCCACCTGGAAATCACATTTTTATTCTAATTAAATTTAATTCATTACTTCTAATAGCTTACCAACTCCTTATCTAGCTCAACTTTCTTCTTCTTAAGAATATGTTAGATTTATCCCTATTGCTAATTCCTTTGTATTCAAGAACATAGTAGAAATACACATGCACCTGAATGCATATGCCTATGGATGCATGCACACACACACATGTTGTAAGTAAGTCCACTTTGTAAGGAAGGACACTTGTTGGTTCCCAGCTGCTCAGCCCTGAAATAATCTCACAGAAACTATATTATTTAAATCACTGCTTGGCCCATTAGTTCTAGATTCTTATTGGCTAACTCTTACATCTTAATTTAACCTATCTCCATTAATCTGTGTTTCCCCACATGATTATGGCGTATCAGGTAAAGTTTTGTCCAGCATCTCTCTCTGATGGGGCTACATGGTTTCTCTCTCTGACTCTGCCTCCTCCCCCCAGCATTTAGTTTAGTTTTCTCTACCTAAGTTCTGCACTATCAGCAGGCCAAGGCAGTTTCTTTATTCATTAATGGTAATCACAGCATTCAGAGGAAAATCCCACATCACCCCCCCTTTCTTTTTAAATAAAAACGGAAAGTTTTAACTTTAACATAGAAAAATTACAAACAGCAAAACAGGTATCAAGCAAGAATTACAGTTACAATATTTATATCTATTTTATCTTTTATCATGACTAATGAAAATTATATTATTACTATCTACTCTTCAACTTCATCAAAGTTTCCAGAAGGATATAATATTACCTAAGTAAACAGGAAATGCATTGCCAGCAACTTCCAAAATTCTAGAATTGACAGAGACATCTCACTGCCTGGACAGTAACCCAAAGTTCTTCTGCAATTTTGGAGCATCCATCTTCAGCCTATAGGCCCATGCTTTCTAAGTAAGTGATCTAACACTGAGTCACATCTCCAGTTTTCCAATTTGCCTGCATGGTTCTAACTCTTTTGTGAACTAGTGATACCTCAGTGTTTGCACTGGTTACTTTTCTCATCGCTGCAACAAAAATTTATGTGACCATTAATACTGAACTTCAATTTGACAGGATCTAAAGTCAACAAGGAATTAAACTTTTGGATTTGCTTGTGAAGGATCTTCAAGTTTTTGTTAACTGAGACTGAAAGACCCATCTATAATGTGGTGGCAAGCTACCACAGGGTAGGTTCTTGGACTAAAGAGAGTGAGTGGAAGGTCAACCGGCATCAGCATTCATCCTCTTTGCCTCCTGACTACAGAGACAATGTGACCACTCTTTATTTTATCTATCTATCTATCTATCTATCTATCTATCTATCTATCTATTTATTTTTTGCCCCTGATGTCATAACTTCATATCATTACAGGCTGCATCTCCTTGGACCCCAGCGTGAAATAAATCCTTACTCCCTCTAGTTGCTTCTTATAAGGGATTTTTCCACAGCACCAAAACCAAAAATTAAAACATCATCCAATGGACAGCTTTAAAGAAAAGAGGCTCATTTTGACTCAAAGTTTCAGAGGAGACAGTCCTTCCTGGCAAGGAAGGCATGGGGACTAGCATGCGTATATTTCTGACAGTGAGACTTTCAGAGGCTCATTGACTTGTGGTGGAACAAAAGTCAAGCATTCGAACTGGAACGAGATATGGAAATCAAGGTTAACCTCAATGACCCACTTCAGCGATGACGGACTCAGTAGCATGGGATCTACAACTCCCTAAAACATTGTTACCAACTAGGGGATCAAAGACAAACACAGGCCTGTGCATGACCCTTTACATTGAAACTGTCTCAATAATTGTTCTTATTTTCTTCTTTCTTTTTTTTTTAAAGATTGTATTTATTATGTATACAGTATTATTCTGTTTGCATGGGTGTCTGCATGCCAGAAGAGGGCACCAGATCCCATTATAGATGGTTGTGAGCCATCATGTGGTTGCTGGGAATTGAACTCTGGACCTCTGGAAGAGCAGACAGTGCTCTTAACCTCTGAGTCATCTCTCCAGCCCCTAATTTTCTTCTTTCTAATGGCTCCTTAGCAGCACATTTTCCACTAGAAAGTCTCTGAAGCCATATTTTCAGATCAATTAAAATCAAATAGGCACAACAAATACACCAAGTTCCCTGAGATTCTGACAATAAGAGACTTGTTCGAACACATCTTGTCATAAATGACAGGCTGTCTGACCATTCTCCAAGAAAGCTATCTTACAAATAACTCCTGATCAGATCTTGAGTGACCTGGCTAAATACCCAGTTAGTTGGATATGCTCCATAAGAGATTTGGTGCTCCCAGGTGCCCAGGGCGATGTCCCCAGTTAGTTCCTGGGGCAGCTGAGGACAGAGAACCTGAAATGACCCTATCGTATAGCCATACTGATTAATATCTTGCATATCACCATAGAACCTTCATCTGGAGATGGATGGAGATAGAGACAGAGACCCACACTGGAGCACTGGACTGAGCTCCCAATGTCCCAAGGAGGAGCAGAAGGAGGGAAAATATGAGCAAAGAAGTCAGGACCACGAGGGGTGAACCCACCCACGGAGACAGTGGGGCTGATCTATTGTGAGCTCACCAAGGCCAGCTGGACTACGACTGAAAAACCATGGGATAAAACCGG